ACGCGGGCCGCAGACGAGCAACTCTGCTGCGGCCGGCCCTGTCCCTGTCCACCGCCTGGGAAATGAGGTCCTGGTGCCCCAGCGGGCGGTGGATAAGGATACATGTTGCCCCTCTGGGACGATACATATATATATATATATATATACACACATATATCCATATCCATATCCATATCCATATCCATATCAATATCCATATCCATATCCATATCCATACCCATCGCCTGTGGAGGTCCGCAAAGATCGATCCCCCAGGCGGTGGTGATGTACAAATCCCCGCCCCGGACACGCTCCGTCCAGAGCCGGTCCCCCTTAGACAGCCTTCCACGAGGCCCCCGAGAGGCTTGCAGGGGGCGGCCTGGACGCTCCCACAGGGGCGCCTGGAGGGAGCCCGCCCTCCCCGGTCAGTCTGCACTGGCCTGCGGGCGCAGCCCCCCATCCAGGCCGGGGGAGAACGCAAATCCCTGCTGGCCGCCCCCGGCCGTCTTTCCGCAGCCAGGAGACGACGCTCTGCAGAGGAGGAGGAGGAGGAGGAGGAGGAGGAGAGTAAGCCCAAGAGTCATCAACGATGTTTTAATAAACCCTCCCTCCAAGCTCCCTCTTCATAGGCCCCCTAGAACTCAATTCCACTGAGGAAACTGCCTCGATGAAAGATAACCGTTTGAAGACCCTGAAGCAAGCCAAAACATTTATTTTTCTCGGTACTCCAACGCCACGGATCAACGTGACCATTGCCTCTTGACGATCCTGAATCGTGCCAGAACGCCATTCCTGGGACTTCGACACCACGAATGAGAATAACTGTTGCACCCTCATAACCCTCAATCTTTCCAAGACGCGATTTCTGGTACGCTGCTCATGGGAATCCGCAGAAACCTTACACATTGTTGAAACGAGATTGTTAAAACGAATGAGAATAACTGTTGCACCCTCATAACCCTCAATATTTCCAAGACGCGATTTCTGGTACGCTGCTCATGGGAATCCGCAGAAACCTTACAAATTGTTGAAAACGAGATTGTTAAAACGAATGAGAATAACTGTTGCACCCTCAGAACCCTCAATCTTTCCAAGACGCGATTTCTGGTACGCTGCTCATGGGAATCCGCAGAAACCTTACAAATTGTTGAAACGAGATTGATAAAACGAATGAGAATCACTGTTGCACCCTCATAACCCTCAATCTTTCCAAGACGCGATTTCTGGTACACCCTGCGAAATGCTCAAGAAATCATGGGTTAAGAAATTCATAGTCTCAGAACTTGAATAAAACCCAGAACTTCTATCAAAATCTTGGGATTCACATTGAAAAGTTAAGAAGAATCGAGACTCTGGACGAAAGCTTAGGTTTTCTTAAGCATCGCCTAAGGTGTACGCTGATCATGGGAATCCGCCCAAAAAAAACTCACAACTTGTTAAAACGAAGGTGCGCGGCGCTGAGGCGAGAGCCACGCTTCGAAAGGGAACCGCCCTCCATCCGTGAAATGACTGCAAGTGTTTGCAACGAATGTGTGCGGCTCTTAATTTTACCATTGTAGGACGACGAAATCTATACATATCCACTGCTCCTGGCCAGGCCCATCCTGGGTCCCAGAGCGGTGTATATGTCTTCCTGGCTAAGCCAGGAGGGCGTATACACAGCTCCTGGGCCCAGGATGGGCCTGGCCAGGAGCAGTGGATATGTATAGATCTTGTCGCCCAGCATTGCGTGTTCGTTTGCACGTTGGTCATTCGTCTTTGATGTTTTTGATGTCCTTGATATCTTTCGTATCACCGTTTGGATCAATTCCGAAAGAAATGTTTTGCTCGAACGTCTCGAAACTCCTTCATGTATCTTCCAGCTTGACGATGCAGCCAAATTGGAGTATGATATGGTTTTTGACCAAACGCTGCTAAAGCGAGAGCCACACTTCGAAAACGACCCGCCGTGAATCCGTGTGAGACTCTTGCGAATCGTTGTAACGAATGTGTGCGGCGCTGAGGCGAGAGCGACATTTTGAAAACGACCGCCCTGAATGCGTGAAACCCTTGCAAATGTTTAAAATGGATATGCATATGCGCGGCGCTCAGGCGAGGGGATCATTTTGAAAACGGCCCGCCCTCAATCCGTGAAACTCTTTCAGATGTTTGAAACGGATTCAACTGTGTATGACGAATGTGCGCGGCGCTGAGGCGAGAGCCACATGTTGAAAACGACCCGCCCTCAATCCGTGAAGCTGTTGCAGATGCTGAAAGCGAATGTGCGCGGCACTTATGCGAGAGCCACATGTTGACAACCACGCGCCCTCCGTACTCCAGATTTCGTAATAAAAGGGAGGGGGTCTCATTTCGGGGGGGGGGTCTCTTCCAGGCTATCTTGGAGGGCCTGGGGGGTCTGGGGACGATGTTTTGGAGGGTTCTCCCACGGGGGGGGTCTGAAATGGCTTGTCTTGGAGGGTTCAGACCCCCTCCCTTTTATTACGAGATCTGGAGTATGTGAAACTGCTGCCAGGCTTGAAGCTTCAGGTTCATCAACGGTGAGGCGGCTCGGACCCCAAAATAGTGGCGCGGCCGCCCCCTGCCCCAAGCGGCAGCCCGAGGGCGCGAATAAGAAACAAAACTACGCGCGGCCCAGGCGGTGATCATCATCAGCAGCAGCAGCATCATCAGCGTCATCATCATCATCATCATCAGCATCATCATCATCATCATCATCATCATCATCATCATCATCATCATCATCATCATCATCATCATCATCATCATCATCATCATCATCATCATCATCTCATCATCATCATCATCATCATCATCATCATCATCATCATCATCATCATCATCATCATCATCATCATCAGCATCAGCATCATCCATCAGCATCATCATCATCATCATCGTCATCATCATCATCAGCAGAAGTAGCATCATCATCAGCATCATCATCATCATCATCATCATTACCATCATCATCACAGCAGAAGTCAATCATCAAAGACCAGCATCATTAGCATCATCGGCTTCATCAGCATCAGCATCATCATCATCATCATCATCATCAGCTCATCATCATCATCATCATCATCATCATCATCATCCTCATCCTCACCACCATCATCATCATCATCATCATCATCATCATCATCATCATCATCATCATCATCATCATCATCATCATCATCATCATCATCATCATCAGTATCAGTATCATCATCAGCAGCATCATCATCACCACCATCAGCATCAGCATCATCATCAGTATCATCAGCATCAGCATCAGCATCATCATCTGCATCGTCAGCATCATCAGCATCATCAACGTCAGCCTCATCAGCATCATCAGCATCATCAGTATCATCATCGTAATCATCATCAGCATCAGCATTATCAGCATCATCATCATGGCCATCACCACCATCATCATCAGCAGCATCATCGGCATCATCATCATCAGCATCATCATCATCACCATCATCAGCAGCAGAATCAGCATCAGCGTCATCATCCGTATGATCAGCACCATCAGCATCATCATCAGCATCATCATAATCGTCATCATCAGCATCATCATCAGCATCAGCATCATCATCACGATCATCAGTATCATCATCATCAACAACAGCAGCATCATCAGCATCTTCAGCATCATCAACATCAGCATCATCAGCATCATCATCATCAGCATCAGCATCATCATCATCACCACCACCACCATCATCATCGTAATCAGTATCAGCATCAGCATCAGCATCATCAGCGTCAGGATCATCATCATCAGCATCCTCATCATCATCGTCATCGTCATCGTCATCGTCAACGTCATCGTCATCATCATCGTCATCATCATCAGTTACAGTGGGGGGCCGACCAGAAGAAACTCAACCCTGCGACCCCAGGACGTCCACTGATTTTTGCCGCGGGGACGTCGCGCTCTCCTTAGCCAGACCATCAAAACCCAAGAAACCCAGGGCACCCGGGAGGCAAGCAGGGTGTTCCTTGGCATGGGCCTCCACTGTATGCGCGGCCCAGGCGGTGATTATGCTTGCGCTCGGCGGGTTCCAGGTTGCGGGGCGGGGATCCCATGACTCACGCGCAGTGGCAAGACTCCGCCTGTTCTGCACTCCGCCTCCCCTGCTGTGGAGGCACAGCGCAGGGAGCCCATGCGCGGCCGCGACAACGGCCGAGGAGAGCCCCCGAGAGGCTCCGAGGAGGCGATTCGGACGCTCCCCAAGAAGGCCCCTGAGCAGAGGCCGCGTCCCCGAGAGAGCCACCATAGAAACTGCTGATCCAAGATTAACGTCAAATCCGTCAGATGATGAGCGAAATCAAAATGTTCTGCCATCAGCGGAAGAATTTCCATATACTGCACGAGAACCCCCGAATGACAGCCGAGGACCCTTAGAGGAGGGGGGGAAACGTCAGGAGGGGACGGGCGCGGGGGAGGATCATCGAGCGTGGGTTCCTCCTCCTCCTCCTCCTCCTCCTCCTCCTCCTCCTCCTCCTCCTCCTCCTCCCTCCTCCTCTCCTCCATCCTCCTCCTGTTCCGTTGTCCTCCCCTCTCTCTCCTCCTCCTCCTCCTCCTCCTCCTCCTCCTCCTCCTCCTCCTTCCTCCTCTCCTCAGCATCATCCTCTTCCTCCTCCTCCTCCTCCTCCTCCTCATCATCATCATCATCATCATCATCATCATCATCATCATCTCATCATCATCCTCATCATCATCATCAGCAGCAGCAGCAAGCATCATCAGCATCATCATCATCATCATCATCATCATCATCATCATCACATCATCAGCATCATCATCATCATCAGCAGCACATCACCATCATCGATTCATCATCATCAGCATCATCATCATCATCATCATCAGCATCATCAGCATCATCAATCCATCAGCATCAGTTATCAGCACCATCATCATCATCATCATCAGCATCATCATCATCAGCATCATCATCACCATCATCTTCATCTCATCATCATCACACCACCACCATCTCATCATCAGCATCATCATCATCATCATCTCGCATCAATCAGCATCATCAGCATCAGCATCAGCATCAGCATCATCATCATCATCAGTCATCATCATCATCGTCATCATCATCACCATCACCATCACATCACCATCACCATCATCATCATCATCATCATCATCATCATCATCATCATCATCATCATCATCATCATCATCATCATCATCATCATCATCATCATCATCATCATCGTACGGGCGGATGTTGGAAGCAAAGAGACACGAAGGGCCGAGAGTGCGCAAAACATATCAAAAGGGGAGCACGACACCGCGTCCCCTGGCCATCTTGCTGCTACCATCCTCGAGCAGACCTCCTGCAGAGGGCCATGCCCGACGCAGAGGGCCATGCCCGACGCGTCGCCGACGGGGTCGGCGCCGGGCCGCCGAGAGGGACTCCCCGCACGCCTCCTGGCCGAGGGGGGGGGGGGGGAGGCTGTCGGGCTCCCCCCCCGTCGGCGATCGAGAGGCGCTTCGGGGGTCGAGGCATCCCCCCCCCCCCGGGAACAGATCCCCCCTGACTCTGCTCTTCGGATTCAGAGAACGGGCTTCTGGATTCCAAAAAAAAACAGGTTTGGGATGATCGGAGGTCAAAACTCCAACAACAAGTTTGGGCAATTCAGAAAGCTGATTGGTGGAATTCAGAAAAAATGGTTTTTTGAATTCAGAAAACCAGAACGTATCCCCCCCCCCAGGATCGGGGAGACGTAGAACTCGGGTTAGGGAGACTCGGGTTGGCCCGACTGGGCCATGATGAAAAAGACTCGACCCAGTCTGAGACTTGAGGCAAGCTCCCGCTGCAAGCATCCCACGAAAACTGGGCAGTCAAAATCCAAAACGCGCTCGCTAAAAAGCGTCGGCAAACCCGCGCTCTGGCGTACTCGAGTCTTACGTTTCCCCGACAGGAACCCATCCCCCCTAACTCGGCGCCGCGCCCAGGTGGGGGGAAGTGCGAAAGAGCGGGCCCTCTCAGAAGGCTCCGAAGTCCCCCGGCCTTCTGAGAGGGCCGTCTCCTTCTCACTTCCCCCCTCTCTCGCCGCCGCCTCCCCCCTCGCTCGTCGTTGACTATCCTGCCAAACCACCCCAACCCAACCCGGAGACCCGAATCTCGGGGTGGGGGGGGTACCGGCTTCACTCGTGTTTTTGCCAATGTTCCCCTACCCCCCCACTGACACAATGGACGGCAAATCGGGGCCGTCGGGTTGCGTTGGGGTGGTTTGGTGGGTGGTGATATCCCCCCTGACTCGGCGCCGCGGACGAGAAATGCAAAACACTCGAAAAGTATTCAACCATATTTTTTCACCAACAACAAAAAAACGTCCCCTGACGATTTGTGGGTAATGTTTGAATACTCCTCCCGTGGAGGGAGAAGCCCGACGTACGGGAAGCTCCCTGAGCCCCCCCCCGAAGGCACCAGAAAAGGCTTCTCGGGAGGCGCGAGGGCCTCTCTGGGGGGGCCTCGCCGCCTTCTGAGAGGGCCTTCTCCTTCTCGCCTCCCCGCCCCCTCGCTCGCTGCAGAATTCGGCTCTTGGCAGGGCTGGACCTAAACGCTGCTTTTCGCTGCATGTTCGATGTGTGGTTCGTCCTGCTCCACCTGTTCTCCTGCACCCCTTTGAGAAAACGAAAACAAAACACAGCCGAAGTCCAGCGAAACAGCGTTTAGGTCCAGCCCTGGTTTTTGGGGTCACAACTCGGGTCTCTGGCGGGCGCTCGGGACGATCTGGGCACCCCTGGAACGCCCGCGGCGAGGCGCAGCTGCTGGTAAGCATCCCGAGGCTGGAAGACTGCCGAGAACCGACGAAAATGTCTGAAAACGTCGAACCTCGAACCCGCAACAACTTCCCCCTTCTCATTTTCCCCCTCGCTCGCCGCCGACGTAACGTTGCCCCTGACGAGAGGTTAGCAAAAGATCCTCCCCATGATGTTGCAGCGCCGCGTTCGTTACCGTGCGGTGGTCCTTCACCAGCTCTGGCCGCTCCCCTTCCCCTCGCCTCTCCGGGGGCGCGCCCACGAGAGGGGTGCGTCCAGGAGGGGGGGGGGCGCAAATCACGGCCGAACGCACGTTCGCGGACGAGGGAGGGCACCGAGGGACGTGTTGAAAGCAGGCGAGTGGCGGCCATCGGCCCAATAGGGGCCATCAGACCTGGAAGACCTGTATAGCCCCTGGCAATGATGTCCACCACCGCCCAGTCTTCACCCAAAACGAAGCCAGGACGAGGATAAATTCGGGTCGGGTGAAGATCAGTCGAGAACCTCTCTGAGATCTGGCGGCTTGAAAGGTTGTGTCGGGCACCGCGGCGTTCTCAGAGCGTTTTGGTGCGCTCTCAGAGCGTTCTGAAACGCTCTGGAACAGACACAGCCGTTCCAGGCGCGGCAACAGGGAACTCCGTGCGCTGCAGGCTGGTGGCACCAGGTAGCGGGGCCCACCAACGAGGTTAAGGTACCCCAAAGCCATATCACCTAAAGTCCTCCTCCTCCTCCTCCTCCTCCTCCTCCTCCTCCTCCTCCTCCTCCTCCTCCTCCCCCTCCTCCTCCTCCTCCTCCTCCTCCTCCTCCCTCTCCCTCGCCGTCCCTACCAGCGGAGAGGTGCCCTCTGGCAGCCGGCCCCCCCGCCCCCAAGCAAAAAAGGCGCAGCGGGCCTACGTCGACCCGGGAGGCATCCGTGGGCGGCAGCCGCCGGAGCGCCGGCAGCTCCACGGCGTCGGCCTCCTGGCAGGGCGGAGCGGGGGATCGGCTCACTGGGGCGTCGGCCTCCTGGCGGGGCGGAGGGCCTCCTGGCAGGGCGGAGGGCGGAGCGGAGATGCGACGAGGAGGCGCGGGAGCACACGGGCGGCTGGCGGGCGAGGCGGGGGGCGCGGAGTGGAGAGCGGCATGCACGGAACGCAGCAGGACGGAGCACAGCTGCGCGGACGCGACGGGGCGAAGAAGGGGAGAGAGGGGCGCATGCGGGGTGGGGGAGGAAGTCAGCCAGGAGGCACGTCGGATCGGGGGTTGCTCTGGTCGGCGGCGAGCCCGGGGGGGAAGGCAGAGGGGGCGGGCCTTCTCAGAAGGCTCGGAGGAAGGCCTCCGGCCTTCTGGGTTCTGAGAAGTTGTCTCAGCCTTCTCCGAGGACAGAGACGGTTTCTCAGAGGACGGGGGGCTTCCGAGAAGCCCCAAGGCCTTCTGACAAGGCCTGCTCCCTCTCACTTCCCCCTGGGCTAGCCTCCGAGGGAGAGCATGGAGAAGAAGGTCAGCCGCTGCAGGAGGCGCGTCACATCGGCAGTTGCTACAGGTGCCCCTGACCCAAAAATGTCCCAAGCTTTCCGCTCCACCTTCTCTGCTGGAAGTGTGCGACAGGAGCGCCTGCTAGTTCGACCCGCCCGCGCCCTGAGCGGCCGCCCCTTCGCGGGCATGCAGGCTTGAGCTTGACCTTTGGAGCCCCTGGGGCCCGCTGGGACTCGTGAGGGGCTGCAGCTGAGAACGTGGGGGCATCCCTGGAAATCATGGAGACATCTCGGGCCACGAACGTTTCTGGCAGCACCCGATCGGAAGATCCTGGCGAGGCATAGCCCCATGTCACCAAACTCTCCCTCCAATTCCTCCTCCTCCTCCTCCTCTTCCTCCTCCCCCGCATGATCGTCATCATCATCATCAGCATCAGCAGCAGCATCATCATCATCAGCATCATCATCATACCCATCATCATCAGCAGCATCATCATCACCATCACCATCACCACCACTACTCATCATCATAACTGTCATCAACAGTAACAGCAGCATTAGCATATTCGTCACCATCATCACCACCATCACCATCATTACCATCGCCATCATCATCACCACCACAACCACCACCATAACCAACACCAACACCATTACCATCATCATAACCATCATCAGCAGCAACAGAAGCATGAAATCAACATCCACACCATCGTCATCATCAGAATCATGACCATCAACATCATCATCATCATCACCAGCAGCATCCTCAGATCATAGCATCGTCATACGTATCAACATTATCACCATAATCATCCGCATCACCATCATATTAGTATCAGCGTTATCACCATCATCATCAATCAATACGCATCATCACAATAAGCATCACCATCATCATCATCATCATCACTTTCATCATCAACAAGGTCGGCATCACCATCATCATCATCGTCATCAAACTCATCAGCATCATATCGTCATCGTCATATAATAACCCACAGCATCACCATCATATCGTCACCATAACATCATCATCACGATCAGCATAAAACTCAAAAGCCCATCATCATCATCGCCATCATCGCCAAAATCATCATCACCAGCACCAACATCAACATCATCATGATACCTTACCAACGTCATCACCATACGCATCATCATCAGCATCATCAGCTGCATCAGCATCATCACTAGCATCACTATCATCATTATCAGCATCACCATTATCATCATCCTTCCCCGTACCCGCGCAAGCCCATCATCATCATCATCGCGAACAACATCGCCATGGCTATCAACATCATCAGCAGTACCCTCACCATCATCACAATCAGCACCATCACCAGCAGCAACATCAGCATCACCATCATCAGCATCAGCATCATCATGATTATCATCAACATCCTCATGATTGTATCATCCACATCATCATGATCATCACCATCATGACCATCACCATCAACATCATCATCATCATCACCATCATCACATACACAACCATCATCATCAGTGACATCGTCGTCAACATGCCATCATCACCATTCCATTACCGTCAGTACCCTCATCGTTCGAGCATCATCATGACCATCATCATCATCATCATCACCAACGTCAGAATAAGCATCCTCATCACGACCACCATCACCATCACCAATACCATTATCACTATCATCGGCATCACAATCAGAACCATCATCGTCGTGGTCAAACTCATCATGTCCACCATCACCATCGTGATCAACATCATCGTCGTCGCCGCTATCATTGCTTTATTTGTCGTTATCGTCATCAGGGTAATCATCATCATCATCATCATCATCATCATCATCATCATCATCATCAAATCATCATCGTCACAATCATCACCATCATCACCAACATCACCATCATCACCCGCATCATCTTCATCCTCACCAGCACCATCAGCATCAACCTCATCATTTTTCTTCGGTCTCGGAGTCGACTCTGTGCATGCTGGTTTGGGGCACGCCGGCCGGGTTAACGCCACCACATCTCCCGAACCACCACCAGCTTCCAGCACAGACTGCGGACCCACCTGCGCACAACTCAATGTGCATCGACCAGGCTGTACAGACAGGTAACGTATCGGCCAAAATGGCGCTATACAGGGTACGGCCACAGTGCAAGGAAAACCGGCACGAGGAAATGTTCAGGCAGCTAACGGGGCGGGAAGAAGAAGCACAGGAGGGGCAATACAGGGCGATACACGCCGGCACCGGCGAGCGCGTCAGCCCTGAGTCAGCGGTGCGCCGACGGGGAGCCCACTAAAGAGGGGGGGAGAAGAGGAGGAAAGCAATAACACTACGCAGCACAGGAAAAAGCCGAAGCCTGTGCAAGAAGCAGGCGCCTCAGGAAGCCCTCAGAGCGCGGCTCACGAGTCCCGAACAGGTCAGGAGGATGATGATGTCAACGTCGGCATCTTGTAGAGAATGCGCCGGAGATGGCGACGAGCTCGCGCGAGCAGTGGACGAAAGCGCACGGCCCCCCCCCAGAGAGGCGGAAGCGCCCCGCCGCCTGCCCGATCGAATCGCCATCGGCACCTGAGAGCGCCTCAGCGCTCCTGCACTCGCATGGCCTCCTTGCCCTGCGCCGCCAGGCGCTCCCGGAGAAGCACGGCCGGCCGCGCGGGCGAGACCCAGCCCACGGCGAAAGCCCGCCCTCTGTCCTGGCAGGCGGCCCCCTGCCGGGACAGGGACCGCCCCTGCTCCTCGACGAGTTGCGCGATGTCCGCGGGGTTCGGCGCCGAATCCGTAGCCAATACCTGGACCAGCTGCAACGCCTCGAGGTAGCTGGCCGCGTCGGGTGGGGCGTAGGGGGCCGTCGGGCTGGGCGTAGGGGGGCGCAGGGGGGCGTAGGGCTGGGCGTCCGGGAGGGCGTCGGGGAGACTGAAGGGCGGGGCGTCGGGCAGGGCGTCGAGGCGGGCGTCGGAGGCGGCGTTGGGAGGGGCGTCCGGCTGAGGTTCCAGGGCGTCGTGGGCTTCGGGGACGGCGTCGAGGAGGGCGTCGAAGGGGGCGTTGGGAGGGGCGTCTGGCTGAGGTTCAAGGGCGTCGTGGGCTTCGGGGACGGCGTCGGGGAGGGCGCTGGGGACGTCGTCAGGAAGGGCGTCGGGAATGGCGTCGGCGTCGTGACCCCCCCCGGGCAGACCAGAACTTCAGGCCAAAGTTCTGGTTTGGTGTCGCTCGGGACGTCGTGGGCGCCCGGGGCGGGAGCCTCGTCGGGGAGGGCGTCGGGAAAGGCGTCAGGAAAGGCTTCGGGACGGGCGTGGGGATAGGCGTCGGGTAGGGCGTCGGGCAGGGCATCGGGCAGGGCGTCGGGGTGGGCGTCGGGGTCAACACCAGGAGGGGCGTCGGGCTGAGCTTCCAGGACAGCGTCGGGAAGGTTGTAGGGGGGCGTCGGCCTGGGCGCAAGGGGGCATAGGGGGGCGTAGGCCTGGGCGTCCGGGAGGGCGTCGGGGGAACCGCAGGACGGGGCGTCGGGCAGGTCGTCGAAGCGCGCGCCGGGAAGGGTGGCGGGAGGGGTACCGAGGTCCATGACAGCGGCGGAGCTCTCCAACTGGTGCGCCACGACGGCGCCCGCCAACTGGTACACTGCGGCGGCGTCCTGCGTGCAGGGGAAGAGTTCGAGGAGACCGATGGGGAGGATGCGGTCTTCCCACCACATGCCGACAAGATTCCACGCCTCCGAGTCGACCGGGGGGGAATCAGAAGAGGCAGAGCTCGTACAGGTACAGCTGGGAGGGGCGCTCGCGCGCCCTAGGCTACTTCGCAGACCGTCATCGTCGGCGAGGGGTCCGGGTCGTCCGGGTCCCATTCCACCTTGCTGTGCACCTCCGCCAGCTGGTGGTTCGCATTGGCTGCCAATTTGGCCTTGGCGTAGAGCTGGGCCACGTTGTCCGCCGTGACCTTCTAGTCGTGGCCCTTGCCCGTCGACTGCTCCTGGTTCGGCGTCGACTTGATCTCAACCAACTCTGGACTGCCAGCAGAACGGCCCCCACCAGCACCCCCATGGGCTGCAGCTCCATCTTCACCGCCTGGAGCTGACGCTTGGGCATCTTCTGCGGAATGAGCCTGCCGACGACGCTTCGCCTGCAGGCGAGTGTTGAAACTCTTCTGCTCGTCCACCATCTGCGTCGCCTTCTCCGTAAGGCCTTGGAAGGCCTCCTTTGTTGCTTGGCGAACCAGCGACAGCAGCTCGGTTTTCCTCCGCTCCAGTTCTTCACGATCTTCGTTGGTGACCTCGACGCCCTCGACCTCCTCGAGCCCAAAGAGGCCCTTTATCGTCGAAGTCGATGTCCTTGCCCTGCAACATGTCATCAAGGCTGATGCGCGGCACCAGCGGCGGCGGCGGCTGCTCCACGGGCACCACCTTGGCCGCGAGGCCACGCACCATCTTCTTGTAGACGTTCTCGCAGTGCTCGTACACATGGTAAGCTTCAGCAACGGCACCTTGAGCTTCACGTAGTTGCACTTCCAGTCCATCAGCCTTTGCGACCGCTCGGTCGCATTGCCACTGCGCCTGCTCCATGGCGTGCTTCGCCGCGCCCACCGTCGGCGGGGGCGCTGGAGCCGTACCCTTCTCCAGCTCCTGGATCGCCTCGTGGTAGCGGTCAGCGCCAACCGACCACCAGCATCATCATCATCATCATCATCATCATCATCATCATCATCATCATCATCATCATCATCATCATCATCATCATCAAATCATCATCATCATCTTCATCATCATCAGCATCATCATCATCATCATCATCATCATCAGCAGCATCACCATCACAATCATCATCATCATCATCATCATCATCA